GCCACATGATCACAGAAATTGTTTTCGGACAACACTGGGTCCCTCACCCAAGAAACGGAGATGAGCACTGTGACCTAGAGCTCAACACAACTGACAGTGAAATCTTCACCTTTTTTAAAAAAAATGTAAACTATAGTTGTCATCCTGACAGATTTTTTAGCTTGGAAGGAGTGTCCATCTGCAGACTGGGATCAAAAGTTTGTGTGCTCTTGGTTGCAATCTTCAGTCTTTCAGGGCTTGGATCATGATGCACAACATCTTGCAGATTTTGTCTTCTCATGCAGAAACCATTGAGAAAGATTACTTTATTAGAAGGAGGGATTAAAAAGGATTGATGAAAAATGCTTTGGAAAAAGCATCACACTCTTACTCCTTGAGAGTTTCCCATCATTGTCAGCTCACAGATCACTGAAAAGTTTCCTCTCTTGCCTTCTGGTGCTTTGGTAAATAGGCTGGCCTGCCTCATCTCTATGACAGCCTCTCAAATGTTGGACCACTGCTATCATATCTTCCCTAGTCCTTCCTTTCACTAGACGAGACATTAGAATAATATCTAGGAATGGAATAATCTGTAAACATTGTAAAAGGCAAAGATACACCATGGATACCAGAACTCTGTTTTCAGCTCCTCATTTCCCCCCACCCCCCAAAGTAAACAATAGTGCTCTACAAAGAATACTGAACATCGGGATTAACCACGTCTTATGTTTTGAGTGTCAGGGCGATTGTCCTAATTAAATCATGAGCCTCAAGCCAAGCTTCGATAAAATTCAAAAGATTTATTAAGAGCAACATGCTGGCATTAACCTAAATGAAGCCAACTCTGGCATACATAATTTACAGTCACCTGTGACCCTGTTTCCCCCCCCCCCCCGGGTGTATCATAAATCAGATTCTCCAAAGAAGCACAGTCATCAATCATGTTATCCAATAAAGGATTTTCAGGGCAGAAGATCTGGTAGCCTAGCTACAATCTTTGTAGATAATGGTGGAATGTACTTCTGGTTTTAAACTGCCATAATGCTCCTTCAGATTTCCCCCCTGCTCATTTATGGCAACTCAAAACAGGCATAGGAATGTTTTATGAGTTGACACTGAGGTAAAAAAAAGGATGTCTTACCTGGTCAATGACCCAAGGGCTGTAGAAATGCCCGTTCTCAGATGGCTGCCACCAGCGGAGACGCGTAGAGGGCGAACGAGCTTTTAAAGGGATTTCCAAGGCGATGTACCGTCCGATATTGCTCAAATTGCTGAAGAGAAATTCCTGAAGTAGATTCCATCGGAGTCCACCATTAAGGGAATATTGTAACAACACTGGCTGACTCCTGGGATCAGGTACTGCTTTGCCACATCCCAGCCTCATGAAGAACTGCACAAATCTGCATTAAGCATGAAAGAACCCAAAATCAGAAGAAATATATTATTACTTTTGGTTGTAGAAGGCACAAGTCATTCCTTTTGCCACAATGAATTACACAATATTGTTATGCTATTCTGGGTATATATCAATGTGGCTTAAGCCTTTGCCCCATTTTTAAAAAATTATAGTACTTGCTTTTACTCTTTATTTTGTACTCTTTATTTAGTTTATCCATCAGAGTGGCATCAAAAGAATTTTTTTTTAAAAAAGCTATTTTTCCTCCAGGCATAGAATCAATAGACAGATTTACTTATTGAGCGCATATCGCAGTAAATTTGAATCTGTACTGAAATTTCACGATTTTAGCCCAGAAACTTGGCAGCATATAAAAAACAAAGCATAAAATACACAGCCATGAGCTACATTCATTTGTTTATTAATATACATAAAATCCTCCAGTTTTCCAGAAGATGGAAATGCAGTTCCATAAAACCCAGAATGATGGGTAACAGTTCCAAGAAAGGATTTGTGGAATTATTCTGGCCTAAAATCAGAAAACAGTAATACTGCTTCACGGAGTGGATACAATGAAGGACCAATTGCAGAGATCAAAGAAATTACAAAGAATAATATTCAACATATAACCAACATTTATTTCACATCCATAATAAAACATTATTACATTCAAAATGTAAATATGGCGCTGGCATCTCTTCTTATTTTCTTTTCATTATATTTGAGTTAGAGTTGGTCCCTACATAAAATACAAAGTGATAACTTTCAACAAGGATTTGTTTATCTGAGTCCACCAGAGAAAGAAAAATTAGGCATTTTTCTATGCCAGAAGAATAGAACATTTATATTTTCCTTCACAGAAGGAATTCAAATGCCACAGCCCTCTTGCGTTAAGCGGATAATTTGCCACAAAGATGAGATGTGGTATTTTTCCAGTGGTTTCATTTTATTGAGTCAGCTTACTGACTATTTGGAAAATGCAATACATATAAATTAAGCCCGGTAGCAGAGAATAAAAATATGCAGAAGGAGAAATAGTGTTAAACTTTATGTTAATAAAAGAAGTCCAGAAGAAGAAAAGGCCGTATTAAAATGCAATTTCTACAGAATTTTAAATCAATTTTTCATCACAAGATACCGAGGGTTAATATATGTCTGAAGAAAATAGGATTTTGTTTTTAAAGTGCTTAAAGTCCGAGGAGGATAATTTCAAGCCCACCCTGTAATTTGTAAACAGGAGTTTTAATTTTAAACTAGTTTACATATTTTTTTGTTCTTTTTAAACACAACCTCACTCATCAAGGAATTTCTAATCAGGTGCAAAAGACGCTAGAATTTAACAGTTGCTATTTTAAATAGCTCAACACCAGCTTGTTCAGAATCTGGCAGCTACCAACTGTAAATAAATGTTGGCAGTTCAAAGCTAGCTTGCAAATATTTTGGAACTCCAGATGAAGCATCCAAAAGACATCTTGGCAATATACACCAGGTTTAAATCACGGTTCACTGTCGACCAGCACATTACTGAGCAGTTAGTATGTAAGAGAGATCAATCTGTTAAGATTTAAAAATTATTTATACTACAGGAGATGTCAGTCTCCCCGTTAGTGTGGAATTGGAATCGCACACAGCCAACTCGGGTAAAGATTTATAGAACCTGCTTGATTTGTAGAAAAACACAAAATATTTCACAGGAAACTCTCTTCTCCCCCCTCCCCCCAAATAAATCTAAATACAGCCCTTGATTTATGACCAAAATTAAATTTCTGTTGCTAAGCGAGACAGTTGTTAAGTGAGTTTTGTCCCATTTTATGACTTTACTTGCCACAGTTGTTATGTGAATCAAGGTGGTTGTTAAATTAGTAACCCAGTTGTAAAATGAATCTGGCTTCCCTATTGCCTGTCATGCCCCTGTCAGAGTCTGAATCAGAGGAGGAAGCTGGACAGCTGACAGGGAGCAGGAGTGTGGCTCTGTTGGCTGTGGAGGAAACTGGGGAAGGGCAAAGTCCGGCTGGGCAGAGTAGGGAAGAGGTAGAACAAGGGTGAGGGAGTTCAGAGGAAGACCCAGGCCCACCCTCTCTTCATCCTAGGTCACACAGGGAGGAATGGCAAAGAGAGCAAAATGGGTTGCATGGCTTATGGGGGAGGAAAGGGCCCTGATTCCCTTCATTAGCCACAGCTGGGAAGACAGTTGATAAGAAAGGCAGGCTATGTATGGCAGGCTGTTGGGAGCAAACATGAGTTTATCTTGTGTTGTCATGGCTTATCTGTGTTCCTGGCATCTTCCCAACCGTGTGAGTTTTGCTGTGCCTTCAAGTCTGAAATTCTTGCTCCTGCCCTGCCAAACTAATTACCTCAGTTTGGCTGGATTGGACTTAAAAGTTACAGTTTGTGGTTACCCTGTTTTGGATTTAATTTTCTGCAGTCAAAGGCTGTTCCTGGGAGAGTTTTTCTCTAGCCAGAAGGTAATCAGGACACTGGGAGCAAAGTTGGAGATAATAAAGGGACTCTTATTGGTTACCTGACTGCGTTGCCTTTGTGCCACGCCCCAGGTCATAACATTGCCTTTGCTGGTCAGAAGGTTTCAAAAGGGCATCACGTGACCTTGGGATACCGCAACCGTCATAAATACAAGCCAGTTTCCAAGACTTTGAATTCTGATCATGGTATTGTGGGATGCTACAACAGTTTTAAGTGTAAAAAAACAGTCCCAAGTCACTTTTTTCAGTGCCGTTGTAATTTTGAATGGTCAGTAAATGAATCATTGTAAATTGAGGACTACCTGTATGTTCTGTCACCCAACAGGTGATGTGACTAAAATAGAATGATAAATAAACTTTCGAGTGACAATCCTTTAATTTCTTCAGGGAAGGCTACCTTACTCTTTCTCATGATAGGATCACATGGGAAAATGGTCCAAATTTATCAGTGGGTGGAATATTACTGGAAAATATTGAGATACTACAGTGTGGTTTATTTGGTTTTAACCTTAATACATTAAGCCAATCCAGCTATTTATAAACCACAGCTTAGGGCTTAATGTTATATATGAACATGGGCACTTTGGCTTATTCTGAAAAATAATTAAAGCAAACCATGGTTTAATGAAATATATAATATCTTTGGAGGGCCAAGTTGATCTAGTAGTTAAGGCACCAGGCTAGAAGCCAGGAGAATGTGAGTTCTAATTCTACCCTAGCCTTGAAAGCCAGTTGGGTGACTTTCGGCCAACCAGGAGATTGTGAGTTCTAGTCCCGCCTTAGGCATGAAAGCCGGCTGAGAGACCTTGGGCCAATCACTAGGAGACTGTGAGTTCTAGGTGTGAAAGCCAGCTGGGTGATCTTGGGCCAGTCACTTTCTCTCAGCCAAACTCATATTACAGGGTTGTTGTTGTGGGGAAAATAGGAGGAAAGACTAGTAGATATTTTTGCCGCTTTGAGGGTTTTTTAATAGCGGGATATAAATAAAATTAAATAAACAAATTACACATCTGGTTGAAAGGTATCAAATGACCAAATAACATTGCTGTGAGGTGACACATATATGGAAGAGATGGAACTTGCATACTAGTGTCGTTTTGGTAATTTGTTTCCTTCTCCCGGCCTCCTGAGACCCTCTGAGGAAACCTCCAGCTTATACTGCTTATATTGCATACAAAATTGTACCTTTACCTGTAAATAACCTTTTTTTAAGCTTTAATCGTAACATAAAGCATGCAAACATCCACTTTAAACTTAACGTAAGCCATTTCTAAGTTTGATTGTACAAAACTCATTTTTTGTATCAAAATTGTCCAAGTCTGGACTATCTTACTTGAGTCAGTTGTATTTGTTTGTACAAATTTGTAATTTTTGTTTGAGGAATAAAACAAAAAATCAGATAAATAAGACATTGAGCAAAATTAGGTAGCGTTAGACCAATTAAATTCCAGTGTATTTTGACCTCAGTTTGTGCTGTTCATAGTTACATTATCATGTTATTGCATTCATATTTTGTTTGTACAAATTTGTAATTTTTGTTTGAGAAATCAAACAAACAGATAAATGACATTGAGCAAAACTAGGCTGGGTTACATCAATGAAATTCCAGTGTGTTTTGACCTTGGTTTGTGCTGTACACAGTTACATTCTCACCCTGCTGAAGAACATCTGGAATTCAGAGAAGTCTGGGAAATTTAGCCCTGGGTTCAACCACTTCCAAGAATGTAGGCCCTAGAAAAAGGAGTCAACAAAATTGTATTTGATCTATTTGTGAACGGGAGTTACCTAGCTTGGGATAAATCCAGATCTTGAGTCATCAACATTCGCAATCCTTCCTCGTTAAAGAAGAGGTTGTTTCCTCCTGACAGGATTCCACATTTCCTGGATGGTTTTCCGCCACTCACCAGTAAGAACCTGTCCGATTCCAGTTGACCTGAATGCAAACAGAGATTGACACTGCTTTAGGACTGACCCAGAAGCATTTCTGTTAGGAATTGAAAATTGCATGGAAACGAATAAATGCTTAGTCAAGGATTGATCCAATTTCCTATAAACTTTGATTTTGTCAAAGTTTAAATGGATTAAATTTAGCCGGTTTGCATTAATGTTTATTTAATATTTACAAACCGATGATTAAAAATGGAAATTGCTTTCTCAAACACAACTTGTTTTTTTTTTTAAAAAAAAACAAGTTTTATTAATTTTTAAAACACACAAATTATCATTATTCATTACATGTTTAAACCTTTTTTCATTGTCAATTTAACAAGTCAGATAAATTATAATTCTGTTTTAAACCATTTCCATACAACATACCAAAACCTCTTATTCAATTTCTCTTTACTTCTCTTTACTCTTATTCAATATCATTATTATTATTTCATCTGTTTCTTTCTGACTTAGTTACCATTATTCTCATTCTATATTTCTACAAGTTTTAACTAATTCTCCCCCCCAAAAAGACATATACACACAACACACAAAACATAAAAAAAATCTTTTTGGAAAGTAACTTGGACCCAGGTGTCTCTCTCTTCATGGACTTCAATTATATTCATGCTCATCTTACATATCATTACTTATTTTATTTACCATTCTAAGCCTTCTATATTAACTTCCCCACATATTTCACACTTCTTACTTCTATCTTAATTAATCATCTTAGTTTGAATCATTATATTTATATCTTTTGTCCATTTTTTATCATCCCTTTGTCTCATTCCTTATAAAAAAAAAGAAAATAAGTTTCTCCTGAAATCATTAATCAGAGTATGATGCCTTTCTATCTCCCCCCTAAGTTAATCAAATTAATCTTTAAAATAATATCTAATACCCAATCCGATTTTGCTTGGTACATTCTATCTAACTAATACATCCAACATAATTAAGTACATAATTAGACAATAAATCCAAATATTAAAAAAAGATACTATAATAAAAATTTTATAATAACATCAATACCATAGTCTTATTAAACTCTTTAATTAAAACAATATTCTAAACCTCCCCTATTATTAAGTTTTAAAGCCAATCATTTTTAAACATTTTAACATTTTAATCTCTTATCAACTCTTAAATCATTACAATACTACCATCTCATCTTATGTACCTTGCAAAATCTTTTTTTTAAAAAAAAAAAATTATACTTTATCCATTATCCATAAAAAATTTCTTTTTTTCATTTAATTTCAAAACATTGTAGCTTTTCTCCACCTTTTCCCTTTCTTTCTTCTCCCAACAAACCTTTCTACCCCCCCTTCTTCTAGCCTCTGCCTTACCAGCTTCCCTTCTCTGTCGTATTCCTTTTCCCTTTTGTTTACTATCATCATATTGGTTTTGCACCTTATTTTTCCCTTTCTTAAATGTTTTTTTAGATCTTAAGACCTTAAGTCCTTTAGTTTTCTTCTTTTCTCTTCTTTTCTTTTCTTTCTCTCTTCCTTCTTTCTGGATCAAATTCTGAGATTCATTAAAAATGGCTCCTTCCTTTCTTTCTTGTTCCTCTGCTGTCTTCATCTGTTGTAATGTTTGTTGATAATTAATAAGCGCCATTTCTAAGAAAAGGAAAGCTTCTTCCACACCATCTTTACCATTTTTTTTGCTTGTTCATATTCTTTTCTTAGTTCCTCAACAGAAAGAGCCATTATAAATCTTTTCTTTTCTTTTCCCCTTCTTTCTTCTTACAACAACCAGAATATTCAAAAGAAAATAAAAAAAATAAAACAGTCCCAAAGTTATCAGTCAGTCCAAACCAAGGCAGAGTTCTCACTTTCTCCTTCTGGGGTAATATCAATCCAAGAGAAAGAAAGTCCAAATCTGTTTAAAATCTTATTGCAATATATTCTAGTCTTCAAATCCTTAAGGCATCTGCTCCAACAAAGTCTTAGCATACAAATGTTTTCTTTTTAATCCTCTCTCTTCCCACTCATCGCTTAAAACCAATTTTCACCTAAAAAAAATAGGTTTCTTAATATCCAGTTATTTATTCCGTAGGAAAAGAGGGAAAGCTATCCTTTCAGCACCTTCAAACAGCCGCTTTTTTCCTCTTCTGGCAGGTATTATTCAGAAAGTCATACTTTTCAGGAATTTTATTAAATATGTCTTAGAGTCCTAGGAGCCAAGAAAAACTTTCTCCTCTCAATCACTTTCTCCACTTCCTCCTGCGCATTCTTACCCGGCTGCCAGCTTCTTTGTGGCGGCCATTACAGACCGCCGCTGCACCGTCCTGGGAAAAGGGAGTTCTGCCGGCCAGGGAGGGAGTCTGCAACACCCCCAAACCCTTCTCCGGATCCCCCCTACCTTCAGCTGCCCCTGCAGGGCAGCCTAGCTCCGTACCCGTCTGGGTCGGAGCCCCAAAAACGGCTAGCGCGGCAGGGATCGCGCAGCTTCGCAAATCCCTGCCGCTCGCGAAGCCGACAAACCGGAAGTTCTCAAACACAACTTGTTGTGGTTCGCCAGCAGCCTGTGCAAATGGTAGCGGAATCAGACTGTGGGGACGAACGGGGACCAGTCCGGGAGTCTGGGGAGGACTCGGATGAGGGTCCCACATCCGATGCAGGGATGGGGCCAGGACCATCTGGGAGTGGG